AGATGAATCTTCCTTGCACTGGTTCCAAACTCCAACCCGCTCGAAGCCACACTGACCCTGCTTGGGGTTGCCGGGAGTGTTCGTCGACGCAGTTACGACCTCCTTTCGCAACGAATGCGTTCCAATCGTCGACAACCTCATCGACAAAATGGTGTATTGGGATAACTCCACGAGAAACTGGAGCGCTCGTTCCGCCCAAACGGACAGTACTAGTACCGTACCGTATGGAGCACGTCGTCTAAAAACTTCCAACCTGGCCAAATCGAAGAGTGGAAGTTTTAGCTAACCACTGGTGATTCAACTTAACCCTGGGAATAGGTTTAATTGTGGTCATTTGAGATATGGTAGTCGGGGTGTCCTTTCCTGGATACAGGGTTAAGGGTTAAAAGACTACTGTACCGCGTAAGTGTGTGAATGTTTGTACCTACGCTGTACAGTACTTCGAAGTAGTTCAGAATAACTGATATAACGACGAATGAAGGCAGTTAGAGTTCTGTAACTGTTTTGCAGTGTTGCAAATGAAAAACCTATCAACAGGCGTTTCTGAAACGAAACATGATCGTCCACTTCACAGTGACATTGTCGAGCGCGAAAAATGAAGGCGCTGACATGCATGGTGATCCGCGACGGGAGCACCTTTGGTGTGAAAATCAAGGGCGACCAGCAAGTATGGGAGTTGAAGAAGATGATCAAGAACGACAACGACTTTGCGGTAGATGCCAAGGATATCGAGCTTTACCCCGCGAAGAAGAAAGACGACAAGTGGTTGACTATGGAAGACGATGAGGTAAAGATGTTGACGAACGGACTGCTTCTTCAATCCATGAAGGATATGATGCGGCCCGGGAACACAATCGATCCAACCTACCCTATCGACAACGTGGCCTTCGGCTTCCCAAGCGACGTTACCACTGGCGAGATCCACGTGCTAGTGGATGTTCCAACGCAGCGCGAGACTGGATTTATTGTGAACGGTGTTCGTTATCCGGTCACGCAAGGCATGGACCTGTATCCCCCAGCACTGGTGGCGTTTTGGAAGGCCTTGGGGGCCGTTGTCGAAGCCAATGCCGTTGTCACCTTGCCCAAAGAAATATATCTCTTTGGAGATCCGGCGCTCGGCTCTCAGTTGTTCGTTCGGCCTTGCTACCCCCCGTTGTGGAAGCTCTGTTGGAAGTCGATCCATGACATCTTGTTCCCCCACCTCGTGA